GATCCTTTCTTGTGTGTGTCCAATTTGCTGTAAATCCCATCCAATGAATTTTTGATTTTAGATACTTTTTGGTTTTAGGATTTTTTCCCCCTAGTTTCCAGGCCTCTTCTGAAACTTCCCATCGTTTTACTTATTATATCCACATTTCTCTGTATACATTTTTAAAACACTGAAGAATCTGTCTGCCAATTCCAACATCTAGGTCACCAGTGGGTCTGCTTTTTTTATTGACTATTTTCAAAAATAGTCAATAAAATAGCCACTTTATTAGATGTGGTCGATTTCCATTTTGTAGTTGGCTCTAGAAACAGCCCTAAGGTCTTAGACATGGTCTTAATTTTTATACATGCCCTTCTTGGATTTCAACATAAAGTTAAGTGTTTATCAAGCCCCTCCAAATTTGAACTTCAATCTGTGTTTGTGGTGCTGGGCAACTGCTGAGACCGCTGCTCAGATCTTTCTGCCTTTTGGTGGTTTTCTGTGACCATCTTGGAGTTTCATTCTGTGCACACAAATGTAATCAGCCAACCATCTGAGGGAAGTTTGTATGTAGATTTGGGGACTTCTTTTTCTGATTCCTTGCAGTCTAGGATTTCCTTCTTCAATTTCCAGCCTGTTTGCTCTCAAATAAGATCTGACTCCTCAGCCTAATATTATTCGTCACCATCTGCATGAACTCTACCTTCAGTGTGCTGAGTGCATGGTGGACACTCTCTGGGAAAAAGCCCAGCTCTTACCCAGTGAACACCTTTTTAACAGGGATCAAATGCCCTACAGTTTCTGTTCACTTACCTGGGGCATCACTCTAAATAATATTTCGTTCCAAATGATTACCAAGCTTTAGTCTGATACAAGCTAGTCTTGCATTGCCAGAAGCTAGAATCAATTTTTGTTAATATTCACACATGATGGCTTACTTCCTCTTTTTGATAGTAATTTCGTATCTGAATTTAGTTAGTGGGAGTATGGGGGTCAGGATTGACAGTTTTTTTTTTTTTCAAAGGACTTTATTCTTTTAAGACAGAATCTTGCTCTTCTGTCCAGGCTGGAGTGCAGTGTTGCAATCTCGGCTCACTGCAACCCCCGCCTCCCAGATTCAAGTAATTCTCATGCCTTAGCCTCCCAAGTAGACAGGACTACAGGGGCACCACCACACCACATAATTTTTGTATCTTAGTAGAGATGGGATTTCGCCATGTTAGCCAGGCTGGTCTCAAACTCCTGGCCACAAGTGATCCACTCACCTTGGTTTCCCAAAGTGCCGGGATTAAAGGTGTGAGCCACTGTGCCCTGCCAAGACTTGTTTTATTCTGATGGTTTTCAGGAAGTGGTATAAATCTTAAGACTCACTTCATTTTCTTGATCTGCGGACTTCATGAATGTGGCATTAAGTCCCTGATCTACGTGAAAGGAGGCCTATGATTACAGAGGCGGCACCATCATCTCATGTACTACCTGGAAAAGGGGCAGAGTCAGTCAGATTACCCTTTGGTTTCAAGAGGCTGACTTCCCTATCCACCCTTCACTTGTAGGTGTTAACACCTATTAATATTCCAACTGAAGATGCAGGGATTTTTGGTTGTTTTTGTTGAGACAGAGTCTCACTCTGTCACCCAGGCTGGAGTGTAGTGGTGTGATCTTGACTCACTACAACCTTTGCCTCCCGAGTTCCAGCCATTCTCCTGTCTCAGCCTCCTGAGTAGCTGGGATTATGGGCGTGTGCCACCATGCCCAGCTAATTTTTGTATTTTTAGTAGACATGGGGTTTCACCATGTTGGCCAGGCTAGATTCGAACTCCTGACCTCGGGTGATCTACCCACCTCGGCCTCCCAAACTGCTGGGATTACAAGCGTGAGCCACCATGCCCAGCTGTATCTTTGGTTTAATTACCCAACTTTGTTCAGGCCCCCAAACTCTAGGCATTATACTTTGTTCTTAGAAGAGGAAGGGCTTTCATACTTAAGAGTTACAATTATCATCGAAGTTCATGTTTATCATTTTTCAAATTTGTCTGGTCTTTAGGAATTTTCTGTATTTTCCGGTAAGTTCAGTATTCCACTTTAAAGTATATTTGTGGTAACTTATTCAGCCTTTGGATGTTTTGTAGCAGTGCAGGACTTTTCAGAAAACCTTGATGCCAGCAGGGTGAATACCTTCATCACTTTCCCCAGCACTTTATTGAGGCATACTTTACATACAGCAAAATGCATATATCCCAAGTATACCGCTCACTATATTTTAAAATATATACACACATACATATATATGTATATGTTACTACTACTGCAATCGAGATATAGAACATTCCATCATTCCAGAAAGTTCTCCTATGCTCTTCTTCAGTCTATACTCACCCCCAAAGATAACCATTCCATATTTTTGAGCTTCATATAAATGGAATATGTCTAGCTTCTTTTGTTCAACAATGATTTAAAGATTTACCTACATTGTTTTGCCAGTATATCATTTTTATTATTTTTAGAGACAAGGTCTCAGTCTGTCACTCAGGCTAGAGTGCAGTGGCATGATCACAACTCACTGCAGGCTTGAACGCCTGGGCTCAAAAGATCCTCCTACTTCAGCCTGCTGAGTAGGTGGGACTGTAGGCGTGTACCACCATGCCCAGCTGATTTTTAAATTTTTCTGTAGAGATAGTGTCCTGCCATCTTGCCCAGGATGGTCTTGAACTCCTGGGCTCAAGTGATCCCGCCTTGGCCTCCCAAATTGTTAGGATCACAGGTGTTAGCCATTAAGCCCAGCCCATTCTTTTAATGGCAGACTAGTATCCAATGTATAAATATACCATTACTTGATTATTAGCTTGTTGACAGTTATTTGGGTAGTGTCCGATTGGAGATATTAGAAATAAAACTGCTATTCTTGTACAAGTCTTATTGTAAAAACATACCCTCATTTATCTTGGGTAGATCTTTAAAAGTGGAATCACTAAGTCACAGGGTAGGCATTATGTTTACCTTTATAAGCAACCGGCAAACTGTTTCCTGAGGTGATTAAACCATCTTGGACTTCTATCAGTTGTTCCACATTCTCACCATTTGGCGGGTATGCAGTGGTATTTCATTGTGGTTTCATTCTATATTCCCTGATGGCTGATGTTTGAGTGCCACTTCCTAAGCTACCCCTGTATCTGGAGAGCTTCTGTGAAGTATGTATTCAATTCACTCATTGTTAAACTGGGTAGATGTTACAATGGTTTAAAATGTTCTTTGCTTTCCTTTGTTAGTTCTGTGTATTGTGAATATTTTCTCTTAGGCTGTGGCTTGCCTTTTCACTTCAAAAGTATCTTTCTGATGAGAAGTATCTAATTTTGATGAAATTTGTCAGTTTTTTTGTTTAACCTTCCTGAGATATCTTCGCCTAAGATACCCTTGTCTACCCCAATGTCATGAAGATAGTCTGTGTTTCCTTTTACAAGATGTATTGTTTTGCCATTCACATTTAGTTCTATAATCCATTTCGAATAAATTGTACACAGTATGAAGAAGGCATCAACATTGCTTTTTACCAGACATCCAGTTACTTCAACTCCAACTGAAAAATCTTTCCTTTTTCTATTGAATAGCTTGTTTTTGCTGAAAAGCCTGTAACAATATATATGTAAGTCTATTTCTGGACATGTCTATTGATCTATTTGTTGTTTATCCTAACTCTAGTACCATACTCTCTTAACTGTTGTAGCTTTAGAGCAAGTCTTGACATTGGATAGTACAAGTGCTGCAATTTTATTTTTCTTCTTCAAAATTATCCTGGCTACTTAAGAGTCTGTTGCATTTTCATATATGTAGTTGCCAATTTCTACAGGATAGCCTTGTGGGATTTTGATTTCATTGAATCTAGATATCAATTTGTGGGGAACTGTCATCTTACCATTATGCAGTACTTCAATCCATGAGCATAGAATATCTATTTATTTTGGTGCTCTATAATTCTTCCCAGCACTGTTTTGTAGTTTTCAGAGTAGAGGTCTTGCACATCTTTTGTTAACTTTCTTCCTACTTAGAAGTTAGACTTCTCTGATGCTATTACAAATGGCATATTTCAACGTTGAATTTTCAAGTGTTTGTTGCTAGGGTAGAGATACACAACTGAATTTCATATATTTGCCTCATATTCTGCAAAATTATCAGTCCTGGTAGATTATCAAGCAAATGCTTGGCAATCTTCAAGAAATCAGAGAATGGAGAAAATGTCATCTAATTAGAAACAGATCTAATTTTCCAAATGGCTTAAAAAGTGACTCATTTTTTGTATACAACCCCTCACAGTTATGACCTCAGAAACACTACCTTCTAAGTTTCTTTTTCCTTTGAAGAACAGGTAACTATAGAGTTAAATTTGTTCTTGCTATACTTCTTGGAAGATGAGAAGAGCATCAAATCCTTACAAAGAGGAACCTCTGTTTTTCAGCTAAACGCAGAATGGGAGCAACGAGGACATGGCCTGCATGATGTCCTCCATCCGCAGAATGGATGAATATTCCCAATGTTCAATGGCAGCACTATTTCTCAAGAATGCCAATTAAGACAGAGAGATATATTAAAATAGACTGGGACTGGCATGAATAGATTTGTGAGATTCAAATTATCCTTCATTGTCACATTTAAGAATTCCTCACTGGTTAAATAATAATCCCATTTTTTCATCCTTCATTTTATCTTTTCTTTTTTTTTTTTTTAGAGACATGGTTTCTTCTATGTTGCCCAGGCTGGAGTGCAGTGGCACCATCATAGCTCACTGCAACCTCAAACTCCTGCCCTCAAGTGGTCCCACCATCTCAGCTTCCCAAAATGCTAAAATTACAGGTATGAGCCAGTACCCAGTCATTGTTTTCTTTTTCATTCTTTTCTTCCCAATTTGATGTATAATAGAGTGATAAGCATCTGCCAAATTACAAATAATTATGACAAACAGGGATCCACTCTTTCAAATAAAACCAATGTAAGGCACAACTATACAGGAATATTTTGTATTTCCAAAGTATTTAGGAATTCTTTAATTAGAAAAATAAAGGCAATGGGAATATCTATCAGGTTCTAAAAGTACCCATGAATTAAATCACTTACATCTCCCACTTAAAAAACAAAACTTAAATCCCACTTAAATCACATTGCTGTTAAGCTTTCATACAGTAAGAAATAAGACCAAGCTATGCTGGAGTACAAAAACCTGAAATTCTGAGCATGAAAATAATTTATTGATTAGACATCTTGCTTATTCAAGCATTAGGCCTACTGGAGATAGAGTTAACACAGCTCATGGAAAAGGAAAAAAAAAAAAATCCATCCAGCACCTGCTTCCTTTCAAATTTCCTGGGGACATGGTTTATGCATTTTGTACTATAGCCTCACCCTAAAGCATCCCCATGTGCTTGATGTTGATTAACTTGAACAGGATATGAGAAACTTTGTGTACACTCAACCTCGCAAATATAATGAGTGATGCGACTTTCGGAAACATTCGTAGGCACAAGAAATAGCACTGCCTGCAGTGAAAGTCCTTGATAATCAAAGAAAAGAATTCCATTAAATATAATTTTACAAATATGAAAGAAAATATATGCATTTTTGCCAACAGACTGCTCTACATATCAGGAAAAATGTCTTAATGAGATTCCTCCTATGAGATTAAAAGGTTACCTTTTAATTGACAACTTTTAACTGACACTCAGGTGATTCTGTGGTATAAAAAAAAAATCAGAGAAAAATAAAACTGATTTAGCCTAAAATTTAGGAAAAGAAATGCAAGCCTATTAATATGGAATAATAGCTGCACTTCTTTGGCTAAGTCATTAAAAAATGCCAATTAAACATTTTCAGTCAAATTTTATTTAAAAAAAAGCAGCAGATAAACATTACAATTCAATAATCTAATCTAAATATGCACTTGACAATGAAGCATATCTGAGTATGGAGTGAAAAAGGTTTTCCAAAAAACCATCAAATATATTATCTCCAAATACCCAAATAATAAATCACTTCTGCAGGCCTTTTGTTAAGTGGAATCATAAACAAAGAACTGAAGATTTATTGCTGTGAAAACAAATCTGTGGTACAGTAGTACGAATCTTGGGTATTTAGCATAATCAGTTGGGTCAAGAAGTTGGAAATGTGGTAAGAAATGTGTGTGTGTGTGCGCACGTGTCAATCTATAAGCCGGCTGACCCAGGAGCGACTGAAACATCTAATTTGTTCAGTTGAGATCAGACATTGTTAAATTTCCATTTTTTAGAAGGCAATTAAAAATTACAATTCCAACAGCCCACAAACCAAACAAAAAAAAACTGTAGAGAGAAAGTAAAACTATATTCAAAGAGCCTTTTTTTTTTTCAGCTCAATTTCAGCACCCCAAGGAAAATAAAAGCATCCATGACTATCACAGATGAAAACAAAATGAATGTCATTGGAATCAGTTATTTTTCCCCACTGAGGTATAAAATCTAGATAGAAATTTGATACTATACTATAACAAATTGTACTTCTCATAGTTCTGTTTTAATTTCCTTTAAACCCTGTTTAATATAGTTTTTTTGTTGTTGTTGTAAAAATGCTGTTTTCATGATTCCGAATCTGGTTCCAGTTCTTTTATTTTTATATCAATATTTAATATACTGGCTACCAGTTCTAATCAGGAAAAAAAATCTTGGAAATCTCTTCATTATGACAGCACGTTCAGCAGAAATTACTGATGTGCAAGCAAACCATAAAAGGTACAGTTCTCCAGAAAGCATATTTTGTTGATTTTTTTCATTGTCTCAATATTCTTTACCATGATTTTCGGAGAAAGACTCTTTCAGTCTTGTAAACATCAGTGTGCACAGTCTCATTACTATGCAGTTTCACGTCCATGGACAGGAAGGCTGGTTCACAGCTAGTGAAAAGCTAGAGAAGTCTAAGTTTTAATGGCTGATAAACCTTACATCCTGCAGAGGAGGAAAGCACTTTTCCTTTTTTGCTACTTAAGAATGTGGCAGAAATGTATGCTGAGGTAGCCCAGTCAATCCTTATTTTTTTCGTGTTTTTTTTTTTGAAAATTTGGTCTCAGAATATTTCTGGCAGGGTGACGTTTCGAAGAAGCCACTGCTGGGACCGACTTCCATTGCAGTCTCTAATGCTGGGCACCTGGCTATCCTCTTCTGTGGCTTTATCCAGGCACTGATTACTGTTCACATGCTGCAGGGTTAATTTCTGAAAGTAACAGAAAAAATCTTAACATGAGAGTGGAAGAAAACAAAACACCTCAAGCATCAGTTTTGGTGATTATTAAATTCCTCTGTAGAAAAGCAGTTTTTTTTGGTAATATAAATTATTTAAAAGACAATGGAGAAAAAGTAGGTAGGTGGATGGATGGATATAGAGAGAGAGAAGAAGAAGAGATAGGTAGATAGGCAGGTAGGTCGATAAAGAGGTATGAGGGAGGGAGAAAGGCACTGGGGTCCAGTAGGGTACACTTGACTTGCTGCAAGATGACCTAAATTCTAAGTCCTAATTCTGGCATAAGCTCTGTAACACTATGAGAAGCTTCTCTTTTTTTGTGCTTCAGTTTCCTAAACAACAAAAAAAGACCAGATTAGTGGTTCCTAATTTAGGATTCTCAACCTATTTTCAAACAGCTATTTCAAAATTGTTTCATTTCTCTATGATAAGGCTGTTCAAGTTAATTCTGTGATTTCAAAGCTCAAGTTTTTAGAAACTCAGGTGTTTCTGATAACTCAAAATCGTAAAAATGTTGCGACAGCTGAGATTTAATAAAGTCAATCTTATGCCTATGTCCACAGCAAACCCAGAGGCTATCCTGGTGGTTAAAGGAGATGGTGTGGTACAGAAAGAAAAGCACAGGAATGTGGAATTGAGTTCATAGCCTGGGTAACTTGAGCTTTCTCATTTTAAAAATTAGGATCACATTCCATATTTTGAGCAGATTTTGGGAAACTACACAGATAATGAAGATAAAGTATATAGTGCCTCATCTACCAAGGAGATTCTTAATAAATAGTTAACAGACTAGCTATATATTTTACTTATTTAAGTTCTAGATTTGATGCTGCAACATGTTATTAGGATAATTTTGAAAGGGCAGGGCAGGTAAGAATTAACAGATAGATAGTTGACAATGATCCACATCAATGACTGTGATAATATGCTCTGGTCATGTTAAGGACTTCAAAGTAGTTGTATACAGGAATGTGCATTAAGCATTACTCTACGAATGCAAATTAACTCGAAGGAAATGTAAAATGTTTAACACATAGTTATCTGATTCTTTTACTCATGGCTCTATTTTAATGTAGTTCTTTTATCTGAAACATTTCATTTTCATGAGGCCTTTTTTGCACCTATTAGAAATGAAAACAAAATCTAATAATTGTATACTACTTAGGCTTCCAGCCATTTATTATTCTTCCGTGTAGTGGTCAAAGTAGGACCTGGCAGATGACAGTCTACCTTTGCAGATGTCACTGTTGACAATGTCTTTAGGTTCAGGATTCTATCTTTAATGCTTCCAAATGTAAGACTAGAACCTGGAAGAGTCAGCAAGGCTGTGGGAATTTTTTTTTCTTTTTCTTTTTTTTTTTAAAATGCAGACTTTGTGTAGTTTATTGAGAGGAGGGGCTTTGCAGTCAGACATTCCTGGGGTGATTTCCAGATTATGCTTCTGAGCAAAAACTTAAACTCTTTGAGACCCAGTTTCCTCATCTATAAAAAGGGGACAAAAATACCTCACCGGGTTTCATGAGGAAACACTGAGATAATGTACATAAAGTGCTGCCTATCCCAGAGTAAATGCTTGATAAATGGTACAATGACATTTACATACAATGGTAATTTGCATTTATAGCGTAATGCTTATTATTGGAAAACACAACATCCTAGCACCGTCCTGAGCAGTCATGGACACAATCCAGCAGCCAGAGCACTGCAGCTCAGTGTGCACATTGCTGCCAATGCCTTCAGTCTCAGGAAAGACCAAAACAAGAGAAACTCTCAAACATTCTGGGAGTTCCCGCAAAGCCTACCCCAGTGGCCTCCCTCATCAGGCCCATGGTCACTATTACTAAAAACAAAAAACCCCAACTAAGCACAACGAAAAATTTAGTTGGGAGAGTTGGTCTCTTTCAACCCAATTTCTAAAAATGTACATTTCACTCATCTAGATTCATTAAAATAAACCCATTACAAAGACATAGGTTATTGCTCTGTGCTGAGTATTTAACTGTTCGACATCAGGACAGAATCCCCATAACTTGGAAGGTAAGAAGCACCCCCAGGAAGCCTAGACTCTGGTGTAGAATCCTGTTCCAGATACAACTCTGGCTGCTGACAGCAGGCACACAGCCTTGTGGGTTGGAACCCTGTGGGTAGGATGCTGTCATCAAGCACTCCTCAGAGGACTCAGGCAACACCAGCTAGTCTCCATCCAGAGAGAGCTGGACTAAGGCATCAGGACAAGCAGGTGACAAGCATCTAACTGTACACCTTTGAAGAAGAGGATAAAAGCTATAATTAATCATTGCCTGCATCCTAGAACCTACTCCTAATCTCTAGATGCAACTAGGTCTAAAATCTGCATTTTATTCCAGAAAGGACAGCTATAAGCAGTCAAAGCAAAAGAGCCCAGTGCCTTATTATAAATTTTATGTAATATGTGATATAAGGAAGACTCAAAACTATTAATTGAAAATAGTGTGGGACTGTACAAAGAAACCTGGATCTAGAATCAAAAATTCCAGATTTGAGATCTAGTCATACTATCTGGCTGCTTGGGGACCTTGGGAAATTAATTCTGAGTTTCAATTTCTAATTGTATAAAAAGTATCCTGGGTTTAATTTCTAGGGTTACTTTGAAATCTAAGAATTCATGATTTTAGATTACAGATAATTGACATAGTATTCTGTTATTTTTCTAGACTGTTGTGTTTTCAATGGATGGAGGCAGGATGATTCTGATGGGCTGTTCCCCTCCAGTGCTTCCCCTGCAGTCTGCTCAGGCTGTTGGACCTGCACTGCAATTCAACTTCTCCCTCTGCCCAGGGAGAGGGAGGTATTCCTTTTACAGGTATTGACCCAAAAAGTGCTCCCTAATAAACATCCTGAATGCTCAACTTTACTTCTGGGAGAAATCAACTCCCAGTATTAATGTTTTATCTCAGCGGGAAAAAACCTTGCAAAGTGATCTACCAGTTTTAAAACTTCACACTCATAACTGGCTCTTTCTAAATACTCTATCTCCAGCTTTTTACCTGTCTCATCAAACATTTACTTTTGGAATACTGTTGTGGTAGACTGTGTAGGTTGGCTAGCCAACAGTCCTTCCCAATCCCTGTATCTCTCTTGGCCATCTCACACTCTAACGACTAGAAAACCAAAGACTTGCTTTCCCAGCTTCCTTTGCAGCTGGGGGTCACCATGGGATGAAGTTCTGGTCCATAAGACGTAAGTAGAGCCTGCTAAGGGGGTTCCAGAAAAACCTTTTACTTTGCTAATAAAGAGTAACGCTAATAAAGAGCAACAACGGTGGTAGTGTCCCATTCCCCTTCCCCTCCCGCTTCTGCCTGGAGTTGGGATGTGACAGAGCTGCAGCAACCATCTTGTGGCCACAAGGAAAATCTAAGAATATTAACAACAATGTTATCCCTGACATCACCATGCCACTGAATTTACTTACCTCTAGACTTATGTAAGAAAAATAAATCCCTCTTTGTTTAGCTATAATAAATACATTTTTAAAAATACTGCCTAATTAATATACTGTCATTTTCCAATAAAAGTAAGAGGTTTTTCATTTTTAAAATTTTGTGGTTGTCACAATGGCTATGGGGTGCTACTAGCACTTACTGTCTGGAGCCAGAGATGCTACACACCCTGCAATGCATGGGGCAGTCACACCCAAAATGGCAGTAGCACATACCATGGGAAACCCTGGAACAGCACGTTCAGGCCATTTCCAATGGCCATATTAACTGAGCTATTATTATAGGTAATATTATTTTTTCTGTAGTCTGACATTGTGAAAGGAGACCCAGGATTTATAAAAGATGATCTCTGTCCTCTCGGATCTAACAATCTAATAGTGGAGAAACGATTGCTAGATAAATAACTACCAAGAAGTACAGCTTTATAGAGGTCAGAGATGACTAATTAAGTTAGGATTGACAGAGTTAATTTCAGGCTAGGATTCATGGAAGTGACGTCAAAGCTGGATTCTTAAGAATGGGTAAGGTTTGTCAGGCAGAGGGAAGCACATTATCTTAGCTGTGAATTAGGAAAGTATAAGGTATGTTCACAGAACAGCATATTGATGATTAAAGTAGAGCATGGTTGGTGTATGACACAGTATAGGGAAGAAAGATGGCCAAAGTCAGTAACTTTGGACAACATTTCCATTTAAGGACTAGGATGAAGAAGGAGAGAGAGCCAGGCCAACAAAAGGAACAGAGAGCAAACTAAGAGAAGAACATAAACAGTAGTGCATCTTACGGCCAAGGGATAAGAGGATATGAAAATATCAGGTCAGGCTGGGTGCAGTGGCTCATGCCTATAATCCCAGCACTTTGGGAGGCTGAGGCAGGCAGATCACCTGAGGTCAGGAGTTCAAGACCAGCCTGGCCAACATGGTGAAACCCCGTCTCTACTAAAAGTACAAAAATTAGCTGGGCATGGTGGTGGGCGCCTGTAATCCCAGCTATTCAGGAGGCTGAGGCAGGAGAATAGCTTGAACCGGGAAGGTGGAGGTTGCATGAGCTGAGATCACACCACCGCACTCCAGCCTGGGCGACAAGAATGAGACTCCATCTCAAAAAAAAAAAAAAATTAGAAAATATCAGGCCAGGCATGATGGCTCATGCCTGTAATCCCAGAACTTGGAGAAGCTGAGGCAGGTGGATTGCTTGAGTCCAAGAGTTCAAGACCAGGCTGGACAACATGGTGAAACTCCGTCTCTACAAAATTACAAAAATTAGCTGGGCATGATGGTATGTGCCTGGGTCCTACCTCCTCTGGAGGCTGAGGTGGGAGGATAGCTTGAGCCTGGGAGATGGAGGCTGTGTGAGCTGTGATTGTACCACTGCATTCCAGCCTGGGTGACAGAGCAAGACCCTGTCTCAAAAAAAAAAAAAAAAAAAAAAAATCATCTGTTTAGCGGCACTAAATGCCTTGGAGAAGTTAAGCCAAAATAAAAAGAACCAGAGAAAGAGAAATTAAAGATGTTGGTGCTGGTTCCAGAACCACAAGGCAAAAGCACAAGTTGAAAAATTAGGCAAATAGGTGGAAAGAGGTAAGTTTACCATGGATGCTCTAATTGAACTAATACCTTTTAAGTACTTCCATGTGAGCTCATTTGATGGTGGGTGGAGAGAAAGGTTCCAGACACAAGGAGAGATAAATATGAAAGGTTCTGTTATGTATGTCACTGAGAAATCATCACAAGCCAGAGAACTTTATTAATTAAAACTTATCTTTCACTTAAGTGTTTAATTAAGTAATTTTAAAAGCCTACTTTCTGCCTCATTTCTCCCAAACTAGACTATAGAACTTGAAGACATACAGAAGGAACGGTGGCTACTCAACAAACAAGGACCCAGGGATTGGAGGCAACTGTGATTTTATAAGACTAAAATTTAACTATTAGGGAGAATTAAAACATGTTTATTTTACTTATTTTTCCCACCTGTCTATATTTAGTGTATAAGACAAGTTTGATCCATATTCAAGGTCCACAAGAATTCATTCCTTTAGCTATAAAGTATATAAATATACCCAGTGACACACATAATTTTATTACTATAGGCAACTGCATAAATAACTTACCACTGGGTCATACTCCCAGAGTTGGTTGCCTTTTAGGTGGTGGCATTTGAGCATTGTAACTGGGCCATTAAGTTTGGAAACATCCAAGCAAAGGTCATCTGTTCTAATTTCTTTGTTGGCAGTATAGGAGAAAACCTGGAAATAAAAATGCACACACATAAACAGAAAAAATAAATTAGTCAGCATTTTAAATGCCCAATTACCTGTCAGGGAAAATACAAGTATTTCAAGGTACATGATTTATGTACTTAAGTAATGAAGAATAAAGTGACTCAGAAAAGCTACCACTAATTTACACTGATGTTACGTTACTAATTTTCTTGCTTACAAGGTGAAGCGAAAATGACCTTGAGCTCTCTGTATACACTGAATGTATTGCCAAGGGTTGTCATCTGTTTGAATAAAAAGGGCAAAATAAATTTTGTGCTCAGCAATGTAAATACAGTTCTCACAATGGGCCTTTCACAATGTTTCATTAAAAAAAAAAGTCACTGGATTGAAAGCTTCCTTCACCTAAAAGTCTTTATTATTTTCTCTTTAAAGGAAGGAAAATATTTCCTGAATGATGTCATGGGATAAAAAAGGCAAAGTAAAAACAAATCTGAAAATTATCCCTTTTAAGAGTTTTCTAAGATACTCACCTGATTACCCCCCATACCATGGCAATTAAAAATTCCAACTTTTTCATTCTCTTTTCTAGCCATGTTATCTAGACACTGATTTGTTTCCACATTTCGTATCTATGGGACAATGAATAATGAAAATATCAGGAGTTGGAGAAGTTAATTAGACAGACAAACACACAGATACACTAAAAACCAACCTAAACTTTTCCTGGCACTACTCTGAAATGGCCTATTGGCCTATCACTGTCTGGCTATCTAAAATTCATTTGTCTAGAAAGGTCTTACAAACTGTTTATGCAATTTCTGTGTTTGTGGGGGGAAAATCCTTAAAAATTTTTTTTTTCCTTTTTTTCAAGTTATTCCTTTCAAATTCGTATTGACTTCAAAAAACTCTACTTTGGTTAATGATTTAAAGCAATTAACTCCCTGAGGACACTATTATCAATGAAGACAGAAACATTAATTCTGATAACTACTCTGACTTAGGAGAGACTAAGGTGACTCTAGTCAAAGAGCTTGGAATTTGTCTTTCCTGGAAGCTGAAGCGTAGTGTGGTACAAACTCTACTCTTTTACTAGACATTTGTGGATTACGTAAAAGGAATTTAAGTTAGTCATCAGAATTAGGAGGGATATTTTAGGTAATGCTCCTGGTTATTTTGTTTCCTCTAAACTGTTGCAGTTTTAAAAGCATATGGTAAATTAACAGACATCTGAAAGTCTTCAATCTATTCCCATGTATGGTATTGTCAGCAGGTTAAGCCAGAAGAGAAACCACATCTGTCATGTAGACTTTTTTAAAAAGGTAACTAATTTTGTGTGATAGATAAAGTAGGGGTAAAGTTAAAACCACAAAAAAGCCAGTTACTTCTATAAACAAATACACAGTCTGCATATTATTCCAATATTCCCAGGCAGCCAGGAATAAAAACTAGGGTTCTGACATACAAGACTCAGGTTTAAATACAAGTTACCTAAACCTTTTGAGATCACGAACTGGGGGGTAATGTCAGTTCTATGCTGATATTATGTAAGGCAACGTATCCAGGCACCTAATTCAGAGTCCAGCATGAGCAGGCTCAGAGACTGTAATAATCTGCACTGTTACTTTACCACTAGTCACATCCATCTTGCTATTCCACCAAAATCTCAAACTCGGCTCATTCAAAACAGAATTTTTCTATTTTCTAATATGAACACTGAATCATCTTCACATTTTAATACGTCCCCACCTCATCCCCTCTTGAGAATTGCTACCTGAAACAAACCTCATTATCATTCCTCCAAAAATTTCCCATTTTCCTGATATTCCTATTTTTATTAATATTTCTACAACTTGTCCAATTATTCAAGCTAGAAATTTCAAAATGTTTTTTTCTCGGAGTCCAATACATCATATCAGTTTCCAGGAGTTCTTTTACCATATAATTTACATCATCATTTTTTATCCATTATTTTAATTGTGAAACCTATTACCTCATAAATAGGTTGTTTATGAGGTATATGTTTACACAATATAAATAGGTTGTGTAAAAGATTTTATGGTTAAATACCAATTTGCATAAAGCACACCTTCCTTAATCCTGGTAGGTGATCAATTAATACCAGATGATGATGGCTACCTCACTTGAAAAATAATTTAATTCAGATTGGGCCAATCACAGTGACCCATGTCTATAACCCGAGCACTTTAAGAGGCCAAGACAGTAGGATCGCCTGAGACAAGGAGTTCGAGACCAGCCTGGGCAACATGGCAAGACCGTGTCTCTACAAAAAATAAAAATAAAAAAACTTAGGCACAGTGGCTCACGCCTGTAGTCCCAGTTATTTGGGAGGCTGAGGTGGGAGGATCACTTGAGCCCAAGAGTTCAATGCTGCAGTGAGCTATGACTGCCACTGCACTTCAACTTAAGTGACACAGCAAGGCCCTGTTAAAAAAAAAATAGTTCGTATTGTGACAAGGTGAGTCTTTATCTCATACATTCACATAAAATAATCATTTCCTTATACTTTTGATAAAAATTATAAACTCTCCAATTTTGTTTTCCTCTATTTCTTCCCCCAAATGCAGATGCAAAGGTTGCTAAAGAAAGATGATAAATGCTACAGGAATTATTAGATTAACACCATTATCTTCAGCTTCTCTTGCTCTCATATGGAATGGCCATTTGTTTAAATAATTGCCTTTTACCAAAATTCAAAACAAATTAAAAAATGCAATTCATGGTGGGGCTTGGTGGCTCATGCATGTAGAATCCCAGCACTTTGGGAGGCCGAAGCAGGAGGATCACTTGAGCGCAAGAGTTTGAGACCTGCCTGGCCAACATGATGAGACCCTGCCTCTGTTTTATAATTATAAATAAAACTTTTTAAAAATGAAACTCTCCTGAAATTTAATAGGCTTTCCTATCATGTTTTAAGTATCTTATAATAAATAAACTTAGCTAGTTTATTTCTATAAGTGATCCTGCTAATAATTACAGTAAATTCATTGTGCTTCTGTGCTAGGCACTGTTGTAAGAGATTTGTACGTAACAGCTTATACCACCCTTAACAAGATTCCTACAACTAATTCCCAACATGCAAGATCTGGGCCTCTATCCCTTGGGGTTACTACTGACCATTAGATGTTCAAAGTGGAGTTTCTCCAAGGACTGGAAACCACTGCTTCCCATTAGCTGTTAAGAGTGAAGAGCAACTATCGCAAGGACAAAAAACCAAACACCGCATGTTCTCACTCATAGGTGGGAACTGAACAATGAGAACATTTGGACACAGGAAGGGGAACATCACACACTGGGGCCTGTCGCGGGGTGCGGGGAGGGCGGGGGGGAGGGATGGCATTAGGAGATATACCTAATGTAAATGACGAGTTAATGGGTGCAGCACACCAACATGGTACACGTATACATATGTTAACAAACCTGCACGTTGTGCACATGTACCCTAGAACTTAAAGTAAAATTAAAAATAATAATAATGGAAAAAAAAAGACTGAAGAGCAACTAAACTGCATCAACATGTGGTCAGTGAGGCCCAGGTGAGGTGGATGGCGTGGTCAGAGACCCAGATTCAGGCTCGTGGTGGGGCCTGGAGGCAGTCCTCCAATGTACAGGGGAGAAACTGGAGATTACACTCCTGAAAGAGCACAGCTATGATGTTTGAGTCCCTAAGTGAATTTCACATTAGAGGACAGAGGATTCTGTTTGGCTCAACAAATATGTGGCTTCTTTGTAGCTGAAGGGACATCTGCTCTCCAGGTGGGTCCTTTTATATACTGCCTGGCTAAAGAATATAGAGTTTTCAGAGAATATTCTTCTCTTCTGTGTAGTGATACATGTGGACTACCTCATCTATGAGGCGTGTAAGATGTTTTTCTCAAGGACATGGAAAATTACGATGACTATGGGGTAAGTTTTGTCCTTTAGGATTCTAGGAGGGAGAGGACCACCTAATAGGTTTGTTTGCTGGGAGTTAAGTTTGAAGAGCCTTTGGAGAAGGGGAAAATGAGGAACAAATATTTTCTAGGGATGCTGAATAAATGCTCAAAACTGTAATTCCATAAAAGGCTATAACCAATTATCAGCTTTCTAATGAGACGTGGAGGGCAGAAATGGTGACAACACATACTTGTTTCAAGTTTATCTGGGATGAAAATAGGTATTTCGGTTGGTTATTCAAAATCTGACATTTGAAAAAAATTTTAAAACAGCAGAATTTGGAAAATACAGAAGGAAGAAAAAATACATTCAAGAATTGAGGACCAGCTTGTAAGGATGTTCTATGCAAATGTCTTATTTGTTGGACTTCTAAAAATAGTGACAACCTTCTGAGAAGGGGTATTTTGAAGTTCAATCTAAGGAACGAATGGGCCAGATTTTTTCTGGAGTCTCCCACTCTTCAGAGGATTTTATCCCATCTCTTGGTGTACACACAAGTCTACAGCTAACTGCTTAGTGGTCTTATTACACTACCAATTCCTTTTAGTTCACTCCTTTCAAGTCACCTCTTGACTATCTTGGAAAGAGAAAAGCAAGAAGTGAGCACTGTTTGGTAACATATTCAGTAGTCATCAGAACATCTAACGGCAACTGAGATTCTAAATTATCAGGAACCCTTAAATAAAAGGCAGATTTGATACGGGAAAAGAAGGGAGCTTTTCTTGGTTGAAGTAGATACTCCTGAATATCAATATGGTCCTGATATTCTCCTTAACCAGGTAGGAAGGTATCTACTGACAGGGTGGCTTGGGAATTTGATATGGTACCTCCTTATGAATTATGATAATTCCAAATTATTTCAGAGTAGAGAGAATTAGAGGGGGCATACATTAGTTACAAGATTTGAAAACATTGGATTTGACAAGGCAAATATGGTCACCTCAACTTAGGACCTAGGAAGGAGAAATGAGTGAAATGACAGGGTAGCAGTATATGATACAGACAGATGGGTAACCTCCTGGGTCGGCTATTTTATTTTTTATCTTATCTATTTTATTTTTGAGACAGAGTCTCACTCTGTCGCCCAGGCTGCAGTGCAATGGTGTGACGTTGGCTCAGTGCAACCCCTGCCTCCCGGGTTCAAGCAATTCTCTGCCTCCGCCTCCCGAGTAGCTGAGATTACAGGCGCCTACCACCACGCCTGGCTAATTTTTTTTTTTTTTAAAGTAGAAGCAGGATTTCACTATCTTGGCCAGGCTGGTCTTGAAATGCTGACCTCGTGATCCACCTACCTCGGCCTCCCAAAGTGTTGGGATTACAGACATGAGCCACCGACGCCTGGCCGTGTGGCTATTTTAAAACAGCAGATGTTAATGTCTCCGGCACCATCCAGTACAACTTTCTGAGATGATGAAAATGTCTATATTTGTGCTAATATGGTAGCCACTAGGCATGTGTGGATATTGAGCACTTCAAACGTGGCTATTGTGACTGAAGAACCGGGCTTTAAATTCTATTTAATTTTAATTAAATTTATTTTCATTTATTTTATATTATTTTATATTTTGAAACAGTCTCTTGCTCTGTCACCCAGGCTGGAGTGCAGTGGCACGATCTTTGCTCACTGCAACCTCCACCCCCAGGGTTCAAGCAATTCTTGTGCCTCAGCCTCCCGAGTAGCTGAGACTACAGATGTGTGCCACCACACCCAGCTAATTTTTCGTATTTTTAGTAGATATGGGGTTTCAGCATGTTGGCCAGGCTGGTCTTGAATTCCTGATCTCAAGTGATCCACCCACTTCGGCTTCCCAAAGTGCTGGCATTACAGGCGTGAGCCACCAGGCATGGCCTAATTTTAATTAAATTCAGTGTAGCTGACACATTGGATGTGCAGGTCTAGATCCTGACACACAGGAGAAAATCATTCACCATTTGTGAGGAGCTACTTGTCAATGATGGGAAAAGTTGCACAATATGCTAATAAACCCCCATTCTCACACCCTTGGCCACCCCATGAAAGTCATGTGGAAAGTGCCCAAGTTTGGTTTGTACTTTCTGAAACAGTGTAAATCCTAGGAGATTTAGTTATTTCAAGGGGAAAGATCAGTGGGTTAATGGTACTCTTCATAGGAATTGTTTATGGCTGATTAACACATTTTTCCTTGCGTGGCCAGGCACGCCACTGGGTCAAGCCAAAACAATCTAGAAACAATGTACAGACTGAGAGTATCATAAAGGGTGAGGAGCTGTTAGAAACAAACTTTTCTACTTGAATCATAGCAATGTCTGACTTACAGTGTGTGAATATCCACACTTTCAAAGAGTTGTAGAGGTGAGAGTTTAGGTTTCGGGGACATGCAGATGGGGCTTCATTGCTGACTAGCCATGAGACCTTGAGCAGGTTATTTACTCTAAGATTGTGATTCCAAAAACCACAATCTGAAGAACAGCATCTTGCAAGGTGCCCCACTAAAAAAGGTGTTTTATGATCAGATATGTTTGGGAAATACCAGATAAATAAAATTTAAATAGGTTTCTTTGTTGAAGGACTTCTTAAAGCCTTTTAATATACCATGACTCTTGGTAGGAGTGGGGAATGGTGGTACAGATGGATGTAAGATGTAAAATAGTATTACCCAAACATATTTGACCTCAAAATCTACCTTCTTCTCCCCAGTACCTCACCTTTCTAATTGAGCACCTTGGGGACATCAGACATCAATATTATTTACAACATAGAACTGAAAACACTGCTATAAGAACCCTTTCTCATTGGTAAAGCAGGGATAAATCTCTCTCTCTCTGGTTTGTTAAGTGCTCTAATTGAGATAATACATACAGACACATAGTAGGCACACAGTAACTGTTGGTTTTCTTTCCTTTATCCACAGACCCAGCAACTCTTCAACCCCATTTCAGAAGTGGCAACTTAGCTGTACCTGACTGTTACTTTAAAAATACTATTTTTGACATGAGAAACTGAAAATAATTGTGAATGCACTCATTCGTGGGAAACCAGGCAAGGGTGAGAGCTTAAGCTTCTTTGTTTCTACTATTAGTCTCCTCCAGAATCAGTATCTTATCTCATTAGAGTGGACAATGTAAGAGCTTTGTTAAAGCATTTTTATAATCTAGTATTAGTGAATTTAGATTCACTTTTCCACTCTCTGCTGCAAGGGAAGTATTGGTTAGATATGAGAAAGAATACCGACATTAAGGGTTAACAGCACAGGCTCTCAAACCAGATGGTTGTGAGGTTAGCCGTGTTTTTTAAACTATTTATTTGTGTCTCAATTTACTTATCTGTGAAGTGGGAATAACAGCACAATTCTACAGTACTGTGCTTTAATATTCATAAAGCATTCAGATTTGTGCTTGACATAAAGTACATGCTCAGTAAATGTTAGGATTATTAGATCTGCCTGGAAAAGCAATTGGTCAGCCCCTAAAACTGACTAAACCAGTAAAGGTCTAGATTGTTTACTTTTTGTTGTTGTTTAGAATACTCAGCTCCTGGGTTAACAGCTATCAGATACCACAATGAAACACACTTATTCAGGTTCTACAGGAACTACAAAAGTCAGAGTTAGCTGAAGCCAGAGGCTCTCAATTATATCTATTACCATAGTCATATTTACATTTTCTGACTTCCCTTTCTGCTCAAAAATCCTATGATTTCAGGTTTCCCTGGACCCTTGAAGCATGGCAAGAGATCTATAAAAGGCTAAATTACTGTTGGTAGCAAAGGAAGGCTCACATGGGTGAAGCTGTGATCAGAAGCGTAAGATCCCTGGCTGCACTATGGTGGGTACTCTCAAGAATGACCTCCAATCTAGAAATGACACTTTTAACCTGGAGGATGTGGCCTGGGATTAAGGGCGTACAAGGCTTAAGACCAGCTGCTAAGTTAATAAGGCGACAACAAGCAGGCCACAGAGGGTAAATGCTGTGACTTGCCCAGAAGCCAGCTGGCAAGAGGCAGGTAAGACGCAAGCTTGCCTTGGCAGCCATCTACCATGGAGCAGACAAGTGTTTCTTTGTCACACGCCCAAACTGTGGCCCAGCTAACAATGCCTAGGCGTTGTTCAAAATTGGGTCAGCTCAAAATAAAAACAAAAAAAACAAAAAAAAAACAAAAAAAACCCACAACTCATTTTTGGTTCTAAAGACAAGCTGCAGAATGACTGCTAGAAATCTTTCCCTGGCGCACCACTCACTCTGGACCTTGTTTGACCAGTACGAGGTTATAGCAAAGGAAAACACATTCCCATTAATGAGGCATCGGTGAGAATGAAGGGCTCAAGAAACTCAATGTAGTCCTCACTTGTTTGAAAACAAATTCCTTAAATCACAACGAAGTTCAGAGGTAGGGAGCTCAAGTCAATCCTGAAATAGCCTTAGTAATGGTTAAGGATAAATGCAGAAGTCTGTGCCTGCCCTGGCACTGGAAAAAACACCAGGCCAGACGGCTTCACCAACTCGCCACCATCTGGCTTCCTTCGGGGAGCTACTTGCTTTCCCTTATCTTACATTTCTGTTTTACATCCTTTTCTCTTTCCCCAATTCCCCCTCACCAACAGCTTCCTCACTCTCAGCCCATAATCTGAGGAAACAAGCCACCAGATGAGAAGGTCCTCACACTTCCACCACAAACTGCCAGTTTCCACCTCCAAACCTACAGCTGCCCTGCACTTGTTCCCATTCCCCTATCTTCCTTCCTATGACAAGAGATGACCTCTCTTCTTCCCACCCCCAACCAACACCCTCTACTTGTGTACAGATTTCACCTCCTATCCATCCAAATACACGACTCCTGTAACAACAGACCCCTTCTTTCTTTCTATTCTGGTACATAAACACATAACATAAAATTTAACATCTAAACTGTTTTCAAGTGTACAGTTTAGTACTGTTAAATATACTCATGCTGTTGTGAAACGAATCTCCAGAACTTCTTCATCTTGCAAATGTGAAACTCTATACCCATGAAGTAACTCTTCTTTACCCCCTTCCCGTAGCCCTGGTAACCTCCATTCTACTTTCTGTTTCTATGAGTTTGACTATTCTAGCTGCCTGAATCATACAGTATTTCTCTTTTGGTGACTGTCTTATTATGCTTAACGTAATGTCCTCAAGGTTCATCCATGTTGTAGCATGTATCAGAATTTCCTTCCTTTTTTAAGACTGAATAATATTCCATTGTATGTTCTATCAGGATTTATAGCAGTCACTCTGTAGCTTGTCTTTAGAACCAAGAATGAGGAGTTTTTTCCTTTGAACTGACCCAATTTTGGACAATGCCTAGGCATTGGTAGCTGGACCAGAATGAACAGACACGTGGGGCGCTTCCACTTCTTGGCTATTGTGAATAGTGCTGTTATAAACATATAAGTAAAAATAGCTCTTCAGACCCTGCGTTCATTTCCTTTGGATACATACCCTGAGGTAGAATTGCTGGATAATATCGTAGTTCTCTTTTTTGAGCATTTTTTTGAGAAACCTCCATACTGTTTTTAAATAGCAGTTGTATCATTTTACATTCACACCAACAATGCACAAGGGTTCCAATTTTTCAGTATCCTTGCTAACATGTGTCACTGTCTGTCTTTTTTTTGATAGTGGCCATCCTAATGGGTGTTAAGTTGGCTCTTTCTTTTGCATCTTTAAATTTTCTCTTTTGGGTTGCTCGTATCAGCACAGTTTTATCTTAATAAACAAATAAAAACCCCTTTAAGCCCATATTCTCTTCCAGCTACCACCCATTTCTCTTCTTTTACAACAAAATTTCTTGCAAGACTTGTAAACATTCATCTATGTTGCTTCTTCCATTCTCTCTTAAAAACACGGTTTTTAACGACATCCATGGGGAACTCAACACTGTGAGATAGGCTACTGATAACATTTCCCTAGCCAAATGCAATCACCAATTCTAAGTACTCATCTTCCTCAGCTTCTCTGCAGTATTCCATACAGCTGATCACTTCCTCTTTCCTGAAACATCATCTTTCCCTTAGTCTTGGAGACACCACTCTCTAGGTTCTCCTATTTCAATGCCTACTCCTTCTCAATCTTTGTTGCTGATTCCTTCTCATCTCCATGATTTCTAAACTGTGGCATTCCCTCTGGCATTGTCCTCGGTCTTCTCTCTCATACTTAACATTTTCTCCTCCTCAGATGACCTCATACAGTTTCATGGCTTTAAAAACCATCCTATATGCTGACAACCTTTAAGTTTACATCTCTATCACAACCTCTCCCCCAAACTGAGTATTCTTTTTTTTTTTTTTTGAGACAAAGTCTGGTTCTGTCGCCCAGGCTGGAGTGCAGTGGCGCGATCTCGGCTCACTGCAACCTCCGCCTCCCAGGTTCACAGCATTCTCCTGCCTCAGCCTCAGCCTCTCGAATAGCTGCGACCCTGTAGTCCGCCACCACGCCCGGCTAATTTTTTGTATTTTTAGTAGAAACGGGGTTTCGCCGTGTTCACCAGGATGGTCTCGATCTCCTGACCTTGTGATCCGCCCGCCTCAGCCTGCCAAAGTGCTGGGATTACAGGCGTGAGCCACCGCGCTCGGCCCCAAATGAAACTTCACAGGGATAAATTAAATGTTGCGGTTTTAATGTGTCCCAAACTACACTGTTGATTCCCTTGAGCATCTGCTCTTCCTGTAGGCTTTCCCATCTCAGTAATGGCAGCTCTACAGTGTCTCAAGCTTGATAGAAACCTTACATAATCCTTTACTCTCTTCCTTCCAACAGTACACCAGCTCTACTCCTGTTTCCATGTAGTTTTTCTCCACATAGCAAACAATGTGATCCTTTTCTAATGGAAGTTCACTGGTATCTCTTGATGGCTTCCATTTGATTAAGAATAAAATGCAAAATGCAAACTTCTCACTATAGCCTACAAGCTTTATATGATTTGAACCTCACTATGTCTTTGACCTTACCTTCTACTACTCTCCACTTTGTTCACTTTATTCCAGACAACTGGTCTCCCTGCTGTTTCTGGAACGCACTAGTACATCGTCATCTTAGAAACCTTTAGGCCGGGCGCAGTGGCTCACGCCTGTAATCCCAACACTTTGGGAAGCTGAGGCGGGTGGATCACGAGGTCAGGAGATCGAGACCATCCTTGCTAACACAGTGAAACCCCCGTCTCTACTAAAAATACAAAAAATTAGCCAGGCATGGTGGCGGGCACCTGTGGTCCTAGCTGCTCAGGAGGCTGAGGCAGGAGAATGGTATGAACCGGGAGGCGGAGCTTGCAGTGAGCCGAGACAGCGCCACTGCACTCCAGCCTGGGTGACAGAGCGAGACTCCATCTCAAAAAAATAAAAAACAGAAACCTTTATACTTGTTCTTTCTTGTGCCCAGAATACTCTTCCCCTAAAAATTCGTACGACCTGCTCATTCACTTTCTTCAGATCTCTGCTCAAAATCACCTTGACAGGACTCTTCCAACTTCTTTATTCTTTCAACTTCCTTACATAAAACAGTACTACTACCCACGCTCACTTGCCAGTCATTCTCTACCCCTTCTGCCCTTCTTACCACCTGACATACTGTGTGCCTTTCATAATCTGTCTCACTCGTGGACTGTAAGATCAACAAGAACCGGATCTCTGCTTTACTTATTGCTGTATTCCTAGTACTTAAAATAGTACTTGTCATATACTAGCTACTCAAATATTTGTTGAATGAATGAAAGGACTGAAGAAGTGACAATCTTCTTCAGAGTGGGAGGCCACTTTTCCTGAGCTTTAATCCTGGGATAGGCCTGGTTGTGGCCCTGTCTACACATATCATCATTTGCTGCTGTGATTTATAAAAGGAAATCTTGTCCTTCTATTGATTTCTATCGCAAAAAGGTTGGATTTTTTCCCTACTTGGCTTCATGTTTTTTTCTAAAAGCCGTCTTATAATTACAAGTTCACAAGGACCTGCACAGAAGTCTTTTTTTTTTTAAATATATATGTACAAATTTTACAGATTCACAATTGCAGATGGTACAGTCTGTTTAGGAAACACATCACTATACACAGATTAGGGAAAAACAGACTCCACAGTACACAGCTTATCTCCAGATGCATCAACTCAGTGGAAATCAACTTTTAGGGAGGAGGAATGGGAAAAAGAATATTGTTTAGACTTTCCTTATTGGAAGTTTAACTTCTATTTTTTTTAGTATAAAAAAGTAAGAACATAATAACCACATAGAATATATATGTATTTCTTACCTCTCCCAATGAGAAATAGTGACGTGGAATTTGAGAATCAGGATATATATTCTCTAGGTACCAAGAAAAAGGTTTGCATTGTAGTTTGTGTCTTAGACCAACTCTTGATGATATATCTCCATAATCTACCTTTGTAACACCTGTTGAAAGAAATAATTGACTCTGAATTATTAGTGTTGTTTCAGGTAACACATGTTTATTGTTGAATCTAATAAGCCAGATGAATGAGAACACTGGTATCAGTTGGGTGATATGTAACTATACCAAGTGAGACACCATGAATCCACCAAAACTATAAAGCAAGGAAAAGACATTAAATGTGTTTTAATTTTTCAGAGAAAAATTACATTTATGTGAGAAAATAGACCAAAAAAATCAAGGTCTATTTTGCTCAAATATTAAACAGAGCAATTGTTTGCAGTCAGGCTTCTCTCACACAACTCACTGAATTGTGCGCTCTGCCACTTGACAGTCTTGCAGTAACTGAAAAATAAGGATGGACTAAGTAACAATGTCAGGCCGACGTATAGCTGATGGAACAACTGTTCCTACAAAACTCTGAGTAGCAAAGTTCCTGGAAAGAAGGCCCTTGTGGTGGCATGTTTTGGGCTCTCGGTGGCCTTGTGATACTTGATGAAAGCCTCCTATGACAGCATCGAGGGCCTGCTTATAGAGAATGCTTATGACCCACTGCAAAAACAGTGGTTTTGTTATGTTGAATGAAAACTCCAAGAATCAAGAAAAAGTCATGCAAGCTAGAAAAATGGCTGAAAATTTAACAAGATGAAACTTCACAGGGATAAATTAAATGTTGCGGTTAGGTTTTTAAAAAAAAAATAGAACATCTGTAAAATCTGGGCTAGCAACACTGACCTGGATAATTTATTACTGTTAATTATATATTATTCTAGGCATTCTGCCAAGCACTTTCTATACTGTGTGTGATTTCATTCATTCCTTACAATAACCTTATGAGGTAGGTGTTCACCTCTGCTCAAAGCTTCACTTCCACCCTTCTTACTTCTCCTCCAGGATCAGGGTCAAGAAAGGTACAGTCTGGTATTTCTAATACAAAACAATGCTAACCTGGAGAAATTATATAGAAGAAATTCTTGAATTCATCCATCCACACTTCTGCAAGTCGTCTGTTATTTTTATTGATAATCTGCCCTGTGCCTCCTGGAAACGTGTAAGGTGTAGCTTTCCGAAACACATGTCCCACATGTGAGCATGTAACAATTTCCAAAGTTCCTCCACATTGCCAAATCTGAAAACAGCAGAGATGACCATAAGATGTAGCTGAGTAATCAGGAAATGTTCACCTTAGTTTTCCCAGAGCATTTTTCTTTTCAGTTAAATAGGGGTTTGGCTTTTGTTTAAACTTAAATGGAACATATTGTAGTTACTGGTAAAAAGCTTCCAAAGTACCTCCATACTACCAAATCTGAAAATAACAGCTAAGACCATACATGACATTGATAGTTTAAAAAAAAAAGTGTTGACATCTATTGGGTTCCACAGTTGGAATTTCACAAAATCAGGGGCACATGGTGGGCTCTGGCTGTAGGGTTAGGTTACAAAGTCAGTGCTTCCTCAAGAGAAACATTCATCTAATTTAAGTTCTGATCAAACCAAAAGTTGAAGACTAAAATAAAGAAAACATAGGTTACAGGCTAAATACAGAAAAGACATGAGATCTAGAGCAGTATTCTTCTAACTGCAGACCATTATTCCTAAGAGAATCATAAATTCAAATTGATGAATTGCAACCCATACTTGTTAACAAGAACATACTGTTTCACAAAATGTTTAAATTTTATGTTTTGTGTGTACAGAGTATATAATGTATTAATGTGATTCATGGTTAAAAACAACCACCAAACAAAACCTGACCATGGAGTAGCCAGCCAGATTCTCATCTGTTCACCCCTCTCCAAACCTGTGTCACGGCTTGTACATGAAACCGAACCTAGGAATCTAAACCAGATCCATCGTAAGTTCTTCAGTGAGAGAGTAAAAGCATGTTTTGTTGTCTTTGTTAGAACAGTAAAAACAAAAAAAGGGGTAAAAGAAAGATGATCAAGTATGTGCTTACATCCTTAATTTAATGAAATCCTTCTGTTCCTTTCAAAATATATTCCCCCAAACAAATTAAAACTCTCGTAACTCTTTACAATTGAAGTAACATTTTGCAAAGTTCTGATTTTGTTAAATATTCAGTGTTCCTACCTTCAAGTTTTCCCAGGATCATAAAGTGTTAGAGCTGGATAGGATCTCCAAGATGATCTAGAGTCCAACCCTCTCTTTGACAAGAAGGCAAAGCCATTCACTGGGAACAAAGTGAGCTCACTGGTTCAGATTACAGTACACGTCAGTGTGACTTCCACTATAATAAGTTATGTGTCTAAAGTTGGTTATTTTCAAAAATATGCAATGCCATTTAAATTATATGTTGATTCTAGTGAACATGAAATGCAAAGACTTTATATGTAGACTGGGTTAAATCAATTTAGAGTCATTTTAGAATTCTTTTGCGTTTTTCTTTTTATTGAAAAATATAAAGCTGGTAAAGTGACTAGGTTTTATATAAAAAAGTTTTCACACTAAAATAAAATGCATATTACAAAATGTGAAATTTATGTTTTTGAGAGTAAAGTACCAAAGTAGCATATTCAAACTACATATTAGTTTTTAGAGCTTAAATTACTTCCTTGAAAATAAAAATTAAAAACAACTAGGGAATCTTGTGTAAGTTTTATAGCTGGACTTCAAAGGTAACTAAATTATTTGCTTCAATAGTTTATAATGAACCTTTAATATCAGTCTTTTTTATGGACCGAAGGTTCTGAAGTTACATTAAACTTGTATTAAATTCAATTTTTATTTTTTATGTAGAGATACACGAATAATCAAAGCACATCTATATTTGAGGTTAAATAAAAGATTAATTTTTTTGAAGGGAACTTACCCTAAAGGAAATTTCAAGGTTTTCTCCTCCCCAAATATCCATTCCAGCATCATATGTTCCAATTTCCTGAAAGTAATCTCTGTCTATTGAAAAAAGGCCTCCTGCCATGGTAGGTGTTCTGAAATTCAATAACGCTATACCATTAGCAATTTAAAATTTACAATCAGCTTTTGTTTTTAAAAGCAGTTTCATAACTATTTATAACTACTGAGTAAGTACTTATTCTCACACTCTTCATAAACTTTCATAGGCCTTAGGGGTTTTCTGTGTTTTATGCTGTTATTTGGTCTTCAGACATGACCTGTACTGTGGTCATGCTGACTGCTAGACTTGCTGTGTCATGCTTCTGCCCAGACATCCCTCTCTGTCACAGTTCTAAGAGTACTTTCTATCTTTCTTGGCTTGGTCCTCAGGTCCTAACTGAGTTTAGATCTCAAACTCCTTAAATTAAAGCTATTCCTCACAATCCTCTCCATCTGACTGTGCACCCACTCCATGGATCCTAGTAACTTCAAGGCAGTTGACTGTATTAACCAAGCAGATTCAGGTTAGAGTTACCATGCCACATTCTAAAGGGTGGCAAATATTTTAAACACATAAGATAAACAGGATGGAAACAACGAGGTCTTTTCCCAATACCCATAAGAAATCTTTAAGGACAGGAGACAAAATATAGAATAAAATCAATATGTTCCTTCCTGACTGTATGGTATATTTTCTGCAAAAGAGGAGCCTAATTCATCAAAATGGGCTCAGGTAGGCAAAAGGAGTGGGGACGTGAAATTAAGCAGAAAAATGATTAAGAAATGAAGGAAGATTTAAATAAATGAATATCAGCCCATTTGATTTTTATAAAGAACAAGTATGGAGAAAAAGTGAACTCCACCCAGGAGAAAAAATAATTAAGTTACAAGGACCGAAGATACCACGAAAACTGTATTTTAAGATGAACCCTAAAATGTACTCATTGCCTTTCCAGAGGAAACAGCTGTTTCAAAAAAAGGTTTGGACTTATTTTGATTTTAGAAGAAAAAAAGAATGAGAAAAGGGTTTAAAAGAAACAGCCCAAAATTCAGAATTATCATTTAATACAGGGGTTTCTTGACCTGAGTTTTTTGTGTGATAAATCTTCTGTATGTACATGTGCATTTTTCTCCATTAGAGAAGACCCATAGCTTTTACCAGATTTTCGAAAAAGTTTGTCATCTTTGAAATGTTTAGGAACCCCTGATTTAGATAGTGAATTGCACTAACAGCTAAAGAGAAGAAAAGTCCCTTGCACTACTAAGAACTCAGGCTAAGGAAAATAGCACACAGTCAGTGGAAAATCTCTTCAGTGTTGCCAGAACTGGACTTGAATTCAAGGGAAGGCAGATGCAGGAGGCCCAAAAACAGAAGACAGCTGAAGCCTGGTTCTAAAGGAACTCTTAATACAGAAGTAGCAGGTTGATATAATTGGGATAAATTTTAGGATGGCTCAGAAGAGCTCAAAGGTCTCAATTTCATGTTCTAAAAAGAGCATGAGGATTTTTATTCCATCCTGAAAAAAAAAAAAAATCTATATATGACCAAGTAGAGAAAAAAAATCAGAAAATAAATGGATTAATGAATTTTTTTATACTTTGTGTCAATTCTAGCTATTTTTATGTTTGATACAAGCTTTTCTAACTTTACCAGTCAATAACTCATCCAGATGGTACAAGTCTGAATTTAAAATCGCACATTTTAATGCAGGGACCCAGTTTTAGGTAATAGTTTCACATACTGACACAATTAAGCTAAGTAGTATTATCCTTAATAACTGAATTAAAGAATAGATGTGACTTACACATTTGCAGAATGTTCATAAAGGAATGAAAAAACATGCATGTCATCGTTTCTCATGTGCACTAGATTTACAGAATAAGTAAAAATGTCTAATTTTATTAGAGGAGAAATCCTTCTTTATAACACTCCCATATGTGAAAGATGGCCCTTAACTGCCATAAGGTATACGAATGCTTCATGTTTCTCAAAATACACTGATCCATTTGATATGATTCCCAGAGCTCCACAACCTTCTGCCAATGACACTTTAGAGAAAATGTTTGACAAATTAATTACCTGACAGGAAGAGTCCGATCACCTTTCCTTCTGTCCATTTCTCTTTGGGGAACAGGATACCAGCGAAAATTGAGCTTCCAGTTGAACCCACCATAGGTCATATCAGAGCCTGCCATGTACTCAAAAGTATCATCGCTGATCACATCGATGATAGGACACACCACTGTTCTCCTGATGTCATAAAAGCAAGTTTAAAAATCCTTCAAAACATTCCTGTTTAATGCCAACTATAGAACAACTGTAGAGTGTTTTTACTTTTTTTCCCCCTTGTGACAGGGTATCACTCTGTCACCCAGGCTGGAATGCAGTAGTGCAATCAGGGCCCACTGCAGCCTCGACCTCCTCAAATGATCTTCCCACCTCAGCCTCCTGAGGAGCTGGGACCTCAGGTACATAACACCACACTCAACTAATTAAAAGAATTTTTTTTTTTTTGGTAGAGACGAGGTCTCCCTATGTTGCCCAGGCTGGTCTTTAACTCCTGGGCGCAAGGGGTCCTCCTACTTCAGCCTCTCAAAGTACCGGGATTACAAGCATGAACCACTGCACCTGGGCCTAAGTGTTTTTAAAATAAAAATACATTCTATAATGTTACAGGCAATGGTGAAAACTTTCATGCTCAATCTCCCATCAAACTAGCATCATAATTATTTACTGGTTGATAATCCCTCCCCTTTTCATTCATACTCCTATATTGTCTTAAAAAGCATATTTTTGTTTTTTATATTTAAGTCTTTAATCCTCAAGGGACTGATTTTAACTATGATATACAGCAAGTATCCAACTTCATTTATTTCTTCTATGGATAACCAATTGTTCCACCACTATTTATGTAATGGTCCCTTTTTCTTCTGCCATAACTATGAGTGCCTGTTCTGTCATAAATGAAGATTACATACAAAAATGAGCGGGTTTCTAGACCCTACCCTGTTTCACTAGTCTCTTTGTGAATTCCTGCATCAATATACCACTGCTGTAATTAACACAGCTCTAAAATAAGTCTTGATGCCTAGTAGGGTAAGCCCCCTTAGATCTGATTCTTCTTCAGAAGCATCCCAACTATTTTTTTTTCTTTTTACAGTTCCATATTAATGCTAGAATCAGCCTGTACAGTCTCTCAAACAAAATTCTGTGGAGATTTCAACTGGAAATGCACTGAATTTATATATGAATTTGGGTAGAACTGATACTCTTATGATATTGACTTTCCTATCCATGAACATCACCTCTCTCTCAAGATTTTTTTGTGAATTTCAGTCAATCTTGGTAAACATATTCCTACGTGTAGTCTATGACTTCCATTGCTATTATGAATGGTATCTTTTCTTTTTACATTATATTTTCTAAGTATTTCTTGTTGGTGTGAAATAAAATTTTCTTTGTTTGGAGATGGAGTCTCACTCCTGTTGCCCAGGCTAGAGGGCAGTGGTGCAATCCTGGCTCACTGCAGCCTTGACTTCCTGAGTTCAAGTGATCCTCCCGCCTCAGCCTCCCAAGCAGTTGGGATTATAGGCATGAGCCACCATGAATGGCTAATTTTTTGTAATTTTAGTAGAGATGGGGTTTCACCATGTTGGCCAGGCTGGTCTCAAACTCCTGGGTTCAAATGATCTGCCCACCTTGGTCTCCCAAAGAGCTGGGATTACAGGTGTGAGCCACTGCACCAGCCTGAACTTTTCTATAGTAATCTCATGTTTGGCAACATTGCTGAATTCTTATTGTTTCTATTATTTTATGTACAGATTCATTTTCTTCACAAACACATATACAATTGACAACAATGCTTTTCCTTTTTCCAATAAATAAATGTTCTTTATTTATTGTAGTACAGCAAAACCTATGAAAGACTTCTAATAATACCTGAAGTCTTGAAGTGATTGAGGGCATTAACATCTTGTTCCACATCTTTTTAAAAAATGCTTTCAACATTTCTCCATTAACATGATTTCTGCTTGCAAAGGCTTTTTTTTTTTTTTAAGCTGTCCTTTCTTGGATTAAACTTCCACTGTGTAATAGTTTGCTAAGTATTTTCTAATAATAAATTCATGTTAAATTTCAGTGAACCCTTTTTCAGTATCTATAGGAGTGATCAGAGGTGTTTAGTAAGTTTGTAATCACAGTTTTAAAAATACATTAACGGGATGTATTAAATGAATTAGTTTTGTAATATCATGCTAAACCAAGCAGGCATGATATCATGATATGTTTTTTACATATGTGTGTGTGTGTATTGCTGGTTCAGTTTGCTGGTATTGTGAGATTTTCACACTAGCATTCATGAACAGGTTTGCTCTGTAATTTTCCTTGTAGTATTTTCTGGTTTTCATATCACAGTTATACCAGCCTCATAAAAAGAGTTTTGTTCATTCCTTTTCTATATTGTTTACAAATTCTTAGGGAAGATTTGTTTCCCCTCTGCCACTGCATACCAAGGTTGAGACAGCAAGTTTTCTCTGATGTGGTGGGATTTATTTTTCATTCTTGCCTTATACTAAGATATAGATTTCAAGATCCGAGCTTTATACAGGTGTTTGCTATTAACCTTCTCACCTGAGGCAGCTCCTAGGTTTTGTCTCTTATCCTTCTATCTTATTTGTCTCTCAAGGCAGAAGCTTAGTGTCCCCAAAGTTCAGCAGAAACCCTACCAGTGAAAGCTGGCTTTAGTGTTTGGACTGCACATTTGCTCTCACTTCTTTTCAAGATCTGCAAATTTCTTACTTTTGTGCCAACTCAATGATGCATTTAAAATTTGTTTGGCCTTTTATCCAGCTTTTTCAGTTGGAAAAGTTATTCAGAATATCAAGTCCACCATACAGCCCAAACGGGAAGTCACTGTGGTTGCTATTTCAGCTGATTCCCTTCCATACTTCTGTCATCACTTCACCTTGCTTTCTCTCTATGGGTTATGTATTATCTTCAGGCAAGCAAATATTCCCTAAAACAGTCATCTATTATTTAAAGAAAAGAATTTACAGGGATATGTTATTCTTTTGATTCTTCAGGGAATGTTTTTTTTTTCTAAAGCTGCTCTACTTTCCCATTGATTGGCCCAATGCTGAGTTTTCCTATTTATTCATCTTTGAATGGGAAAAAAAAGTAGATCCAGCATTTGCTATCAAACAGAATAGACGCTGTGGCTTTAGCTCCCACCGTGCTCCACTTGATTAGTAAAAGTTCACTCCACTAAAATCTAAACTTAAAGGTTAACAAGGATAGTCTCTACCTCAAATTACAATGACAAGCAGAAATTCAACCAACATAGATGTAGCAGACTGAAGTCAAGTTCTCTCCTGATGCACAAGAACTAAGCCAGAAATAAGGAGTTATTTGAAAAATGTGTAACATGAAAAACTATAACCATAGGTGTTCATTACACCACTGTTCTTCCTGTGTTATCCAAGATTATGGTGCTTTCCATATAAAATTAAGCATTTCAGGACACAATGTGCTTCTCTCCATTCTCTTCTACTTCTTGCTGCACTACAAGTTGAGAGGATCTGCCTGCTCCAGTGTTAGCTTTAGAGAGCAAGGACAAATGAAGGGTTTTATGCTGTCTTCCCCGAGTTCACCATCTATCTGTTCTGCTCCAGCTTGGTGAACAGAGCATATAGTATACATTCCAACGACATGCTTCCTAATCACTCCCTATTAGCACGACAGTTTGCAAACATTCATGCCAGGCTTCAGAATGTGGTCTTCTAGATATTTTCTTTAGAGTCCTTTACACAGATATTTTAAAGCAAACTTGGGAGGAAATTACTTTTATATTTATTTAAAAACATAGAATTTGGCAATTAACCAGATAGTTTAGGACAAATGTACTAAAAACAAACTTACAGACACCAGAAAATTACCTGTCATGTTTGATCCTGGCCAAGAGAGGCTCCAGCCATCCCACTGTACACTCACAATGGGCATCCAGGAAGGTGATCACTTGGCCTTTAGACACAGCAGCTCCTTTTAATCTAGCTCTAATCAATCCAGAACGTTGTTCCATTCGAATTACATGAACTGGTACTTTTAGTTTTTTCACATAACTCTCTAAAGGCCTTTTCAAAAAGTCTGGAAAATGAACAAAACAAAACATGAAAACAGGTGTGGCCTGGCACTATTCAGATTAAAGTAATTTTGATTTGGAATATTTATTCAACATACCCTTACTGAACACTCTCAGCAAGACTCCCTGACTCACAAACCCATTTTGCTAAAGGAAGCCTTTATATTCCCCGAGAGAATGGACTAGAGCTGCCTCTATTTTATTACATGCAGAATTAGGAGAGTGCCTTTGGGCTTAGACTTAACCAAGGATAGGAATGCTCCTATGTTTCACTAAGTAACTCTGTCAGACTCAGTTCTTTTTCTAATCATGCTTAAGGATCAGCAATACAAAGAAAGCATTAAATCCAGACCTCAACAGAGAGAAGACACAGAATATGTAATATGTAGAGTTCAGAAAATTGTGAAAGCAGAAACAAATTGTCTTGTTGATTACCACAGTCTTTGACGACACTTTTTTTTTTTTTTTTTTTTAAATCAGGAGGCAGAAAGTGAGGTAACGCTTGGAAAAGAAATGCTGGACTGTTAACTGCAAGGCCAAACAGAGATCCTTAAACTGACAGTCAGGTGTTAAGAAAAAAAGTTTAGAAAGGAAAGGGCAATTGAAGAAGAGAAGAGAAAAAGGCGGCAAAAGGGGAAAGGGAGAGTATGTGGGTGTATGAAATCAATAGCTGTCCTGGAGAGTTCAGGTAAGAGGTTATGCTCCTCAGGATACAGGCAAGCATATAGGATAAGGCAAACCTTTCCTCCAAAGTTCACAACTGACTTTAAAAAGCAGAAAAGGTGCAACTTCCTCAAAGCAAAGAGAAAATATTTTTCAGATCAGGTAGGTTTACAGAATTTATGCTAGAGAAGCTATTGGTGGTAATATGGCCAAATGCCTTTCCAATTAGTCACCATACAGTAAGTATGAGGATAATCTCTCCAGGGAAGAAAATATTTGAGATGAAACTACTGGGACCCCTAGAGAGATTATCCTTACATCTATTAATTAAATACTAAAAGTAGAGATCCAAAAGGCTTCCTGCATAGTGAGGTGGAAAAGACAAATGGGAGTAAAATGATTCTTGCCTGTTTGACTCAACAAGACAAAATGACTCAATAATGAAACAATCAGGGATATAAAAGCTGTAAAAGAGAAAGGCCGGTGTGTCCCACTACACCAAAACACTGATCTTTCCCATTTCTGCTAATATATTTTCTAATATTTGAGCTAAAAAGTTATCTGAAAGATATCACTGTGATTTTATGAACCAAGTCTTAGGGTCAGAAGGATCTAACTTGATTCTGAGTAAAAAGGTAAGGGTAGTGCCAATCCCAGAGAAGAGCAACATTTTGTAGTACCTATTAACATTTTGTGTCTGTTTAGTACAATGTTAACATATGTAATGCTAGTCTCATTATATATTTTATCTCATTTAATGCTCACAACGACCCTATGAGGTTAAGTGTTATTATGCATACTTTAGAAATGAAAATCTAAGGCTCAGCATATTACATGAATTTGATTAAGGTGATACAGCTTGTTAAGGGATGGATCCAAGATTCAAACCCAGGTCAGGTTGACTTTAAAGCCCATCTTTTTATCTACAACAAGAGAATCCTAGAAGGGAACTCTATAGAGAGAACAATTCAGGTCTGTGGAAGCACCTGATCAAGCGCAAATTTAAAATACTTTGTATCCAGAATTTGATAGAATTTCATGCAGTAGAGTATAAGATATAATCTAGTACCTTAGATCAATCAAGACTGGATGTGTCATAAACAATGTGTCTCCCAACAAGTTTTTCCAAAAATATTAGTTTAAAATGTTTCTTCAGAACTAAAGCAATCTAGTCCCCAAGTCCCACATGTCTTTGAAAGCTATACTATCTTGTTTATGAACAAAATTTAAAAAAAGATGCATGATTCTGTGGTCTGGTAACTCATAAAATTTGCTCTTCCACAAATTTTCTTGGCATCTTTGTTTGACATCTTTGTGGCTTTCACACAATAACATTAGGATATAGGTGTCTTCTTTTCAGTCAATATAGAATTATGGACTCAGGGCTGGGTGGGGAATTAGGAACTATCCAAGTCTCATTTTACAAAAATGAAGCCATGAGTTAAGAGATTATAGTTAGAAGCTACTATTACATCAAAAACAAGGGAGAATCTTCTTATTAGGACATCTTTATAACTATTGGCCTATAAATGGATCCCTATGCATTTCTCAGGGTATGAGATTGTGAGAGAGTGTGAACACCAGGGAAAAATTTCACTGTTCACAGCAATGTCTGAGAAATATTAGCCGAAACTCTAAAGAGTAGTAGGGAAGAATAAGGAAATCAGAGTCTAATAAATCTGATGCCTAACTTCTACTAAATATAAACCTCTGCTTTTTGTATAAAATGAAAAAATAATAGTCTTCTCAGATTAGAAACATTACATAAATTCTAAGTCTTAAGATAACTTTCTGAGATGAAAATTACATAACTTATGAAATAAACTAGGGATTCGTCCAAATTCTGACTTTATTACAGATCCTGTAACAGTAAAGTTGCACCAGAAGCAATCAGAAGTGAGGTACACAGCAGTTAAGAGGTCAGGCTATGGATTTATACAAGGCTTGGATACTCATCTACCATGCTAAGCCTTATTTTCCTCATCAATAAAACAGAAATAATTACAGCACCTACTTCATACTTCTTTAATAGAGTTACTCAGCATGTTAACCTGAAATCAAGTATTCAGAGGCCATGGGCACACTATCTATGCTATACAACCCAATTAGGAAGTTTGCACAGAAAAGAAGTAAATGTGAAGATTAAATGTACCAGCGTACATTATTCTTTCACCCATTCATTATATAATTCTAGACTGTTGTTATGTACAGGCACTGTGGGAAGTGAGGTGATAATGGTGAGCCAACAGACCTGACAAAGTATACAGTCTACTGGGGGAAGATACCTATTAAACAGACAAATAAATAATTCAAACCCTGGTTAGAGCTGCAGAGGGGTAGAGTGTTATGAGATGTTTTCAGAGAGACATGACAGGTCTGGAGAGGTCAAGAAAGGCCTCTCTACATATATCACATCTGAGCTGAACTCTGATGGATGGATGATTCAATGTTGACAATGCTGGGGAGAGAGATGGTGGAGACGAATGTTCCCTACAGAACAATGTTCCAGGGAGAGGGAACAGAATCAGTACAAGCGAAGGCCCTGAGATAGGAAGAAGGATGATACTCTTTAACAAACTGAAAGAAGAAAACTGGACAGAGGGAATAAGTATGGGAATGGTTCAAGGTGTGACTGGAGTTGCCAGGTGTGGCCAGGTCATACAGGCCTTAGTGGAGGGGTTTAAATCATGGAAGCGAAATGATCAGATTTGCATGCTTTAAAAAAGCTCACTCTGGAGGCACCATGATGAACATCTAGATGGGAGGGGGTAAGAGTATATGGGGACATTAGTTTAACTTGTTAGCCTATTTCCACATTCGGGTGAGAAATGATGGTGCCTTGGATGTGTCTCATGAATAGGAAAAAAAAGCAGATTTAAAGAGTTACATAAAAGCAAAGAGCTTGCTCTGGTTTCTGGGTCTAACAATTACGACTTAAACAATGGAGCCAAAGAAAAACACATTAGATGATTCTCAACCTGGAAAGCAAGACTGCAAATTATAACCACAAAAACAAAGATCTAGTGTCTCCCAGATATCAGAAATGGTAACCTGGATATTTGAGGCTTCCAAGGCAGGAAGATAAAGGAGAAACACACCCCTCAGCAGGGACTCTGGAGCGGCACTCCAGGACCCCGCCTAGAGACTAAGCCTCAGGTGGAGCAGTGAGGTAGACACCTGCTCACACCAGTTTCCTCTCACAGATGTACACAGACTGGGGTGTTAGGTGAGGTCTGCATGAGGGGAAGGAAAGACAGAACTGGTATAGGTGAGTTTCTCTGTCACTTGTTGTGGGACTCTGCACCTTTTTTTTTTTTTTTAATTTATTTATTATTATTATACTTTAAGTTGTAGGGTACATGTGCATAACGTGCAGGTTTGTTACATATGTATACTTGTGCCATGTTGCTGTGCTGCACCCATCAACTCGTCATTTACATCAGGTATAACTCCCAATGCAGTCCCTCCCCCCTCCCCCCTCCCCATGATAGGCCCCGGTGTGTGATGTTCCCCTTCCCGAGTCCAAGTGATCTCATTGTTCAGTTCCCACCTATGAGTGAGAACATGCGGTGTTTGGTTTTCTGTTCTTGTGATAGTTTGCTAAGAATGATGGTTTCCAGCTGCATCCATGTCCCTACAAAGGACACAAACTCATCCTTTTTTATGGCTGCATAGTATTCCATGGTGTATATGTGCCACATTTTCTTAATCCAATCTGTCACTGATGGACATTTGGGTTGATTCCAAGTCTTTGCTATTGTGAATAGTGCTGCAATAAACATACGTGTGCATGTGTCTTTATAGCAGCATAATTTATAATCCTTTGGGTATATACCCAGTAATGGGATGGCTGGGTCATATGGTACATCTAGTTCTAGATCCTTGAGGAATCGCCATACTGTTTTCCATAATGGTTGAACTAGTTTACAATCCCACCAACAGTGTAAAAGTGCACCTTTTAAATTAGGTCATATCCTATAAAAATTTATTATTCTACACAGCCTTCTTGGGCATTCACAGAACAAGAGAAAAACAAAGGAGGAAATGAAAAAATAATCCATTTTATCTCAGGTTAAGTATCTCTTCTGGAAGAATATATTTAATCCAGCAAATATTAACATATAAGTAAACCAAGCACAAGTCATTTGCAGGATAAATGTTTGTATATATTCCTCCTTATATTAACTTAGGTTAATTTTCTTACAGAGGGATTAATTCCTAGCAAATAGATTATCCACATGAGGTTTATACTTCTGTTGTCAACAATTATTTCTTTACGTGTGGTATTCTTAACAGCTCTTATTCCTTTTGACATGTAATTATGTCATGTATTATACTATTTAAATGTGTGATTATAAACTATCTCTTTAATTTGATTAAAAATGTAAGATATAGGCTAATTTAAAAGGTAGGATTTATCTTATTCTTCATTTGCATCTGTATAATCTGGCAAAGTAATAAGATTTAAATAGTTTTTATTGCACTAATTACTCCAAATAATTGATATTTGACATGAATAAACTTAATTTCTATTAAATGCATGTATTCAGTGTGGGCACAGGAAGGAGAAAGTATGATACTTAACTAAATCATAGCAGATGCAATGGGAGAATAGGCAAGAAAGTCGAAGATACTAGCAAGAGAGGTTAAAACGGTAGATCATTTAAGGCTGATGAAGAAAAGAAGTAGGAAATTATTTTCTGTAGCTCTAAATTTTTCTCATGTGAACACAGGAACATTGGTGGAACACATGACACCAATGATTCCTAAAGAGATGAGATATGAATAAGAAAATTAGGAAATGCTGGGTATCTAAGTTAAGCTAGTTTCTTTACTGATGGACTAAGTGGAGCCTTTTCTATATGGTACTCTGTAGTGTGAAATCTCTAGTAAGGAGTCAGAATATATAATATTGACCCAGGCACCTTTAATTAATATGTCCTTTCCCAAAGAGTATTTCATGCTATAGTTTGGGATATTTTAGGCTTGTGAAAAATTCTGAGATTCCTAGAAGGACATGTAGGTAACAGTCTGTAGAGATTTATTATGACAGTCATATTACATCCTACCTTTTCATCCCTCCTAATCCTTTTATGTACCTAGCTATAGATCATTCCTGAAACTTAGAAATGGAGAAAATAGGGAAACCTAAGAAAAATCTGGAGAACAAAGGTTCACCCAGCTAAGGCTCCATCTTGCTGTCAGAGATATTTCCTACTAAACATGGAGCTACATTTCTCCATTCATGGATGTAAGCAGAATCCAGTCTGTCTCTACTGACTCAGTCCTGCAGCTTCCCACAGAGAAAATCCTAACAAAATGATGAGAGTTTTTTCACTGTCCTGCATAATAGTTTATGTTATATAGCATTATTTCCTTTTGAAACAAGATTAAGATGCAACACCCATCAAATGTTAATTAAATATTTTAAGTCTCACAAGAGTGTACTTTTTTACATATGTGAATGAATCCAAATGCTGTATTTTTGGGATAAATTAGAATTTTGTATAAAATTATTAGGTTAAAAATTATAGCAACTAGCTTTAACCGTTAGTGACAAAAGGTGTAGCAAATTATTGGCATTAAAATTTAAAATTTACCTCTTTCACTGGCATCATCTACTAGAACAATTTCTTCTATCATGTGTCTTGGTGAGCGATTAATGACACTATGGACAGTTCGCAGAAGTGTGCTCCAAGCCTCATTGTGGAAAACAATCACCACACTTGTTGTAGGAAGATTATCTGGATACACCTTTGTTTTACACCTAGAGACAAAGCAAATGCCTTTATAAAAAGTGACTGTTAAGATTGCATAATAAAGGAATCTGGACTAGAAGGGGTGATAGAACAATAAAAGCAGTTTGCTCTAGGGGTGGGATCCTTGGTACCTTTTTATTTAAGTCTTGGTTAATGTTACGTGTTTAATAAATAGCACCTATTTAAAATGATATATTTAGATTAAAATTATTTCAAAGATGTCATTTATATTCTTAAAATTAGGTACTTCCTCCTGATTAATGTTTTCAGGTGATTCACTTTAATAGAGAATGAAATAAAGCTATCTACCCAAAACTGACTGTACTTCAAGGACCCTATTAGACAAAAAATCAGAACCACTGGAGTTTACATAGTTTAATAACCTAAACAAAAATATGCCTTCCACAAAAGAAGATAAATATTTAGTGAGTACCTATCATGTACCAGGCTCTTAATCTTCCTAGTCATTCTGTAAGACAGATACGTGCAGCCACATTTCACAGATGAGAAACAGGGCAGGGATAGCGAGGAGGCAGCAGAATCTGACTGAAGACTCCACAGCCTATGCCCTGCTGCTCCAATTCTTGCTGCTGCCACCTCCATAATTAAATATCAACATGTACCTCGTTCAGTAAAGACTATTTATGCCTGAGCATGCAATCATCAGAAATACCAAACACACTCAAAAGATATGCACACGAAATCCACACAATAATTGTATGTTTCTAGCACTTTGTTAGGCAACACGGTCTCTTTTTCAACCCTGTTAGCTACATAAAATTACTAGATAACAGCCTATTAGAGAAAGTAACAGCAGTAGGTAACCTGAGATCAAGAGATGTGCTTTAGAACATAAGCCCGCTCTAAACAGTGCATATGTAATTCTCTCCCAGGTATCCCCAATTCTAACAGTTGCTCCACCCTCCTCTTTCTTCCTTTATTCCCTGCTCTCTCAAGCTCCTCAAACTTTCCACTCCCCCGTCTCAACTGTAATCGCCTGTCAGTGGGAGTGGAGAAAGGGAAGGATGGGGAGGAAATGAAGAAAACACAAATAAGACTCCTCTTCTCAAGCTGCTGAAGTAACTCTTCTTATTGAACACTCTACCCTAGGGCTGCCGGCTGGCAGTTGGAAGAAAAGGAAAAAGGAAGGGTTAAAAGATGACAAGGTAAAAGGGTTGAAAGAAGAAGTCACCATAGGGGCCCCATCAGCCCTTGTCCTTTCTCTCTCCCAGGAGACAAGGAGCAACAAGTAGCTGTTCCTGTCCTTCGATATATTCCACTGCAGCCCCTCTTGCCCTCTTCACCACTCTCAAGACCCCTTTCACAGGATGGTCTCCATCTCCTACTACCAGTAACCTCCTCTCTATCCACCGATCCAGAAAACCCACAGCCTCATTTCCACTTCACTGCCCACTCCCTATGTTCACTCTAACAACCACAAGAAGGCCCACACAGCCTGCCACCCTGTCTGCAGCTCCCTCCTTCCAAGTCTAGACTAAAGAGGTGGGGCCCAAAAGACTAGGCAAGAGGGTGAAAGATGTGTTCTCAGCAGTACTAATAATACTTCTTAAAATAGTTTCCTATCAAAACTCTGTTATAAATGGTGGCTACAATATTTATGTATTATAATTAGTACTAGTTTCGGGTACATCATAGCTGAGCAAGCTATATGTTGAATTCCTGATGCGCAGACTCCTGGAATAAGACTCTGAAGTCAGGAATGGCCTATGTATGAGTAAAAGGGGGTCAGAAAAAGAGTTTCTTATATTATTTAGCTGAATCTTATTATGTCACATACAATCTCTTTTCCCGAGTGAATCCTACTTATTATTATCGTAGAATTGGGAAGCAGGAAACAGCCAAAGTGGCCACATAGTTGCTACCTTACCAAAATAAAGTAAAATAATAAAATCAAGTGATGCACGAAAGATGTATAGTGTACAAATGGTACTGTTAGCCATGTCTATGGCTAGGAAACAGAAAGGAAGACAGAAAAATGTGGAGACAGCAGGTTCTGCAGAAGAGAAGTGATAACCCAAATTTACTATTTGTATAATACGTTAAAGAATAAAATTCTAAAACTGTATGGGAAGGAAGTAAGATTATAAGAGTATAAGAACACTAGAAAGAAATTGGATGGAAGAATCAGAGGGAGAAGCAATATTACGAGCCAGAAGGACAGATGATAAAAATGAAATAATTTTTTTAAATCAAATGGTTAATCAGAGGCCATAACGAGTTCATAAAAGTTAATATTCTCTCAAAGCAAATGAGAAAACATAGAGAAAATATTAAACAACCATAATTAACCTCAGAACAGGTACAAAAACACAAACACACACCCCTAACCTGGAAGAGCCACTAGGTACTTGAGAAGAACCAAAGAGCCTTTTAGCATTCTAGCTAAGCTTTTCCAATCAAGAAACCACCTGTCCTTTTGTGTTTCAGGGTTTGAGGTGGGTAGGGGGCCCGGTTCATAGAACACAGAGCTGAGGATGAGGAGAAAGGCCACAGACCATATTCAGGAAGCAGCTTTCTTCCACACTGGCCCAAGTGAGACTTTTATCCTCAGTTATGAAAACTAGCCAGTGTAAATGCTAATTTCTTTCTTTTTTTCTTTTTTGAGACGGAGTCTCGCTCTGTCACCAAGGCTGACGTGCAGTGGCGTGATCTCGGCTCACTGCAAGCTCTGCCTCCCGCGTTCACGCCAGTCTCCTGCCTCAGCCTCCTGAGTAGCTGGAACTACAGGCACCCACCACCACGCTCGGCTAATTTTTTGCATTTTTAGTAGAGACAGGGTTTCACCATGTTAGCCAGGATGGTCTCCATCTCCTGACCTCGTGATCCACCCACCTCAGCCTCCCAAAGTGTTGGGATTACAGGCGTGAGCCACCGTGCCTGGCCAGTTTATGCTAATTTCTAAAAGTTACATATAGGTTTAACAGCAAGGTATAGGTTAGGAAGAAATGGAATAGTCTTAAACTTTCTATTGAAATATATACATGCAAAAAGTTAACAAATCATAAGTGTACAGCTGAATGAATTTCCACAGTGAAAGCATCAAGCAGTCAGCACCCAGATGAAGAAACAGACGATTACCAATACCCCAGAGGATTCCTTTGTTCCCCTCTCCAAGGTAACCACTCTACAGGACTTCTAGTACTACTGATGAGTTTTGCCTGACTTTTTGAACATTACTTAAACGGAGTAATATAAAGCAACAGTTCTCAAACTTTTTGACTTATAATCCCTTTACACACTTAGAAATTGAGGACCCCAAAGGGCTTTTGTTTATGTGGATTATGGCTATTAATGTTTACCATCTTATAAATTAAAACAATTTTTAAAGTGCAAGCATCCACAAACACATAATACATTAGCTCTTGGAGATGACTCATCATTGCCATGTAGTGTGCCCATTATCAAGGTATTGCCTCTTAGTTCGAAATACACCTTTTATTACCTGCACTGTGATAATGGAACCGGCCCCTATAAGCATTTCTCCTTTGCAGTATGCATGATGCATACTTAAGCTCTATAGGTAGAAGGTGCTGGAGGGACAATGCAGGAGGAAGATACTTCCCTCCCCGGTTCCAGCGTGCTTCCATTTGTTTTCCTCTCCCTCAAACTGTGCGGCTGCCAGTGGACTGTGGTGGATAACCAGGGCATTCACCCCGCTGAACTTCAACAGCACCCCCACAACAACAGACCACATATATGATGGTAGTCCCATATCATTGTAATGGAGCTGAAAAATACCTATGGCCTAGTGTCATTGTGGCCACCATCAATATACTAGCATAATTACTTAATATGCAAAGTACATTTAGTAGAGCCTAAGTGTACAGTGTTGATAAAGTCTACAACAGTGTACACAGTAAAGTCTTAGGCCTTCACATCCACTCAGCACTCACTCACCCAGAGCAAGTTCCACTTCTGCAAGCTCCATTCATGGTAAGTGCCCTATACACATGTACCATTTTTCATCTTTTATACCATATTTATACTGTATCTTTTCTACGTTTACATACACAAGCACTATTGTACTACACAACTGCCTACAGCATTCAGTACAGAAATATACTATGCAGGTTTACAGACTGGGAGTAATAGGCTATACCATATAGCCTAGGTGTGTAGTAGGCTGGACCATCTAGGTTTGTGTAAGTACACTCTATAATGTTTACACGATGACAAAATTGTCTAATGACCTATTTCTCAGAACATACCCCAGTCATTAAATAACACATAAGTGTACCTAACAATTCAGAAATATAGAGCTACAGAAGTCGCTTGGTATTCACTATTACTAATATTTTTCTATTGTTATAGTCCTACTCTGGCTGGATGCAGTGGCTCATGTCTACAATCCCAGCACTTTGCAAGGCTGTGGCAGGAGGATCACTTGAGCCCAGGAGTTTGAGACCAGCCTGGGCAACAAAGTGAGACCCCATTACTAAAAAAGTCCTACTCTATTTATCTTATCTCAGGGCACTGGCCTGAAAAGGTCCTGCTGACTTTTTATTAAGTTCCTGAAACTGCATTAAGAGGATTAAATATATTATCCCATGTATGCTTGTAACAACCCTAAGACAGAGTTATTACTCTCCAAATTTTACAGATGAGGAAACTGAGGCTTAAAGTAATAAAGTAGATTGTTCATGATAGCAGCTAGTAACAGAACTACAAGCTGAATCCACAACTTATGATAAAACTTGTAATGCTCATCAATCATCCATATATATGTCAAGAACTACAGTTTGAAAGAAGAGCCAAGAAAAGAATTTTCAAGAAATTTCTACACCAAGGTGACTATGCATGTATAATCCGATGCTCTCCTCCATGTCCCTTCAAGCTATGATTTTCAATGTATTCTTTTTCCCCCATTAAATTTCATCTGTCACTAGCATTTATCAATGACAACTCATATTTCATAAAATGTCTGGCTACCTGCCAGGCAGTGTTTGGCAATGTTACAAAATTACTTCTCTGTATACTCTCATTCAGA